CACCTAGCTGCCCTCCCCCCCTTCCCCTGCTACTTAGCTGTTCCCACCAGCAGGCTATTGCAATAGACCAGGCATGGGGTGATAAGGGCTTGCACTAGAGTAATTGCAGTGTCAGAAAAGAGAAGGGGTTGTATTAGAGATGTCGCAAAGGTGATTTTGACAGGCATTGGCCATAGCTTGGATAGGGATGGGGGGGAGAATGAGAGATCATGAGAGTCAGGGATGATGAGCCTGAGGGCCTAGGAAGATGGTGTTGTCCTTGATAACAGGAAGTTAGGAGATGGGGAAGGCTTAGAGAGAAAGATTGTGAGTTTCGTTTGAACATGTTTAGTTCTGACTGGGTCTGCTACAAATTTATGTTGTTGTTCAGTCATTTTTCATTCGTGTCTGACTCTTCATGACCTTATTTGGGGTTTTCTTGGCAGAGATACTGGTTTGCCGTTTTCTTCTCCAGCTCATTTTACAGATAGGGAAACTGAGGCAAACAGGGTTAAGTGACTTGTCTGGGGTCACACAGCCAATAAGTATCTGAGACCAGATCTGAGCTCGGGAAAATGTCTTCCTGACTCCAGGCCTGGCACTAAGTCCACTGTGCTACCTAGCTCAAATGGGCAATCTTTCCACACCTTCCTTATCAACTCACTATCTCATTCTTCACAGTGACTCTTCCACATCTTTTCATCCCTCAAATCTCATATGGCTCCCCCTATCCCCACCTCTTAGTTGAGAACCTTGCCTTTTATTTTATTGAGAAAGAGTGCCTTCTGCCACTATCTCCTCCTTTATCCTGTTCCACATTAAAAGGTGGACTTACTCCTTATCAAGGCCCAGCCCTACAGCTGCCTTTTGTGACTACTCCTTGAAAAGATCATCTACAATAAGTGCCTTCACTTACTCTCCTCCCACTTCTTAAATCCATACCATCCAGCTTTCTACTCCACAATTCCACTGAAACTGCTCTCTCCAAAGTTGCCAATGATCTCTTAATTGCCAAATCCACAAGCCTTTTCCCAATCCTCATTCTTCTTGACCTCCCTACCACCTTCAACACCGCCGATCATCTTCTTTTCCTTAATATTTTCTTCCCCCTAGGTTTTTAGAATGCCATGCTCTCCTGGTTCTCCTCTTACCCATCTGACCACTCCTCAGTATCCTTTGCTGGGTCCTCATCCAAGTCATAACCTCTAAAAGCAGGTGTCCCACAGGGTTCTTTCCTGGGCTCTCTACTCTTCTCCCTCAATATTATTTCACTTGGTGATTTCATAAGCTGCCGTGGATTTGATTACCATCTCTGTGCTAATGATTCTCAAATCAACTTATCTTGCCATACTTCTCTGCTTACCTCCAATCTCTCATTTCTAGTTGTTTCTCAGACATGTCAACCTAGATGTCCAGTAGACATCTTAAACTCAACATGTCCAAAAAAACCTCATAATCTTAACCCATAAACACTCCCCACCTTCTAACTTCCTTTTACAGTCAAGGGCAACACTATCTTCCTAGTCCCTTAGGCTCACAATTTAGATATCATCCTTGATTATTCATTATCTCTCTTCTTCCCTTTCTTCCTTGCTCCCCCCGCCCCCCACATCTAATCTGTGGTCATCAAAGTTACTTTTGCAACATCTCTAAAATACATCCCCTTCTCTTCTGTGACACTGTCACCTCTCTAGTGCAGGCCCTTATCACCTCATGCCTGGACTATTTCAATAGCCTGTTGGTGGGTCTGCCTGTCTCAAGTCTCTCCACACCTTAATCCATCCTCCATTCAGCTGCCGAAGTAATTTTCTTAAAGCAAAGATCTGACCATATAATCCCCTCCCTCCTCAATAAACTTCAGTGAATCCCTGCTATCTCCTGGATCAAATACAAAATCCTCTCTTTGGTCTTCTAAGTTCTTTGTAATCCAGCCCCACTCTGCCTTTACTTTTCACCATGCACTCTTTGATCTAATGACAGTGGCCTCCTTGCTGTTCCTCAAATATGACATTCCATTTTTTACCTCCTGAAATTTTCTCTAGCTGTCTCCCATGCCTGGAATGCTCTCCTTATCTCTGCCTACTGGATTCCTTCAAATCTCAATTAAAATCCCATTTAATACAGGAATTATCAGTGCACTCTTAATTCTAGTGCCTTCCTAAAAATTAGCTCCTATTTTTCATGTATATAGCTTCTTTATACGTATCTATTTGCTTGTTGTCTTCATTGTTAGACTTGGAGCTCCTTGAGGGTAGGGACTATTTCTTGCCTTTTTTTGTATCCCCAGCATTTAGTCCAGTGCCTGGTACATCGTAAGCACTTAATAAGTGTTTATTGACCGACTCTTACTACTATTTTTGTTTATCAACTTAAATTAGCTATGAAATGCTATTTCAGAATCACACCAAAGTGTTTGTGATCTTTTGGGGAAATTACTAACTTGTCATGTTTCTGAAGGACAAAAAAGCACTATTTCAACCACCTCAATTAATTTAATCTAAATCAGGGAATATAAACATTTCTTTTGTAAATATTGACAGGACTTTTTCTGGAATTAAAAAACATTTTTTTTCTTTTTTGCCAAAACTTGGAAATTTTTTGGAAGCAGAAAACAGTATTTCCTACTGGAATACTTCTCTTTCTAAATCCTACAGAGTAATAAGAAAGGTTTTTCCATTAACATGTCAAAAG